TTTTTGGTGTTCGTTTAATTTTGTTTTACATGAAAATTATTAGTTAAAGGATAAAATTTACTGGTATTGAGAATAAAGTTTTTTTGCATTGTCAAAAAAAATAAAATAAGAAAATCATCTATATTTCGGTGTTCGTTTGACTTTGTTTTACATGAAAATTGTCAATTAAAGGAAAATATATTTTTTTATAATAATTCTTAGAATTTGTTTTCATTACAAAAAGAAAAAAAATACTACAGTAATCGAGAATTCCAATTCTCACCATTTTGGTGAGAATTCCAATTCCTTATTTGACACTCAAGTTGGAAATTTAATTCTAAGCTAAAAAAATGCTATCAAACAAGGTTAAACTGAAGGGTGGAATTCCAATTCCATTTTTAATGGAATTTCACCTCCAATCAAACACAACCTTAGTACAAAGGGTTATTCTTCTCTCGTTTTAACCGCACAGTTTTGATCCACTTAAGAGTTCTGATTACAAATGATTGTTTTTAATCAAAAATGAACAAGTGCGATTTTTTTTTAATAGACAATTTAGTACTAAATTTAAAAAGTAGACATTTTTGAATTGACACCTATTAAATTGGACATTTTTCAAAATACCCCTTTCATTTATTATACTTCCTCCATCCCACAAAAATATGCATACTTTCATTATCACATAGATTAAGAAAATTTAATCAATATAATGGAAACAATAAACTTTACCTACGTTTTGCCTATTATACGCTTATATAAATATTAGATGACTCATTACTCTATTAAAACTAGACGACTATGAAGTAAACAAGTTATTTTTGCACCTAATCACTCTTTATTGCAATGCTCAAGGCAATAATGTAGCGAAGTGGCTAAATTGCCCTAACTGACAACCATACAAAATTCAAAATTTTGATTTAAAAAAAAAATTCGGTTTGGTAATGCGCCTGAGATTTTTCAAATATTTTGCATTTACCCTTTAAGTTTGTTTTCAATTTTTCAGATTGAATTTTATCAATAAAGATATGTAGTTAGATTTAGCCCCGTTTGGCCCCCCATTTTGGGGAAATGAAAATTTGTGGAATGGTAATTTTTTGAAAAATGAGTGGTTGAAAAAAAAAAGGAAAAGTTTTCAATTTACATATAATATTATTTTATAAAAGATTGTGTGATTGAAAATAAACGAGAGAAAAATGAAATGTAATGAAATTGAAATTAATGGGGGCAAACGAGGGCTTAGTCAAAAGTTAAAAATGAATGGTTCATAACGAATTACTTTAAAAAAAAAAAAAATTCCTCCCCAATGATTGATATTTATTTTTTTTACTTTGATTGATTTGAATCATTTTCGAAAGATGCCAACTCTATCACTAATACCATGAAAGCTTTAGAAGATATCTGTCAATAAAACAAAAAGAAAATTTTCACTTGTAATAAAAAAGAGCTATTTTTGCAATGCTACTCCAAGAAAGTCAGCATGAAAAGGCAGCAAGATGAGTCATTTTGAAAGTCGTCAACTCTTTTTTCTATATCTATTAGGATTCGTTTGATTGTAAAAATGGAATTGAATAGCCTAGAAAACAAATTCCAGAGAATTGAATTGTTTAGAATTATTTTTCTAAGAATTATAAATTATTGTGTTTGATTGGTATAATTTTGTACGTGAAAAATGTTGAAATAAAAGTATTTTTGTTATTCGTTTGATTTTGTTTTATATGAAATTGTCAATTAAAGGAATATATTTTACCGGTATTGGGGAATTAAATTTATTTCCATTATCAACAAAAAAAATAAGTAAATAAAAATTTCAAGAAAATCATCTATCTTTTGGTATTCGTTTGGCTTTATTTTACATGGAAATTGCCATTTAAAAAGAAATATTTTTTTTACAATAATTCTTAGAATTTGTTTTCATTGCCAAAAAAAAAAAATCGAAAAAAATAAATAAATGCCAAACCAATTTCCCACCACATATGGTGGGAATTGGTTTTCTTTAAAAACCAAGAAAAATCTAAACTTCAAGACAACCAAGAATTTGAATTTTATGGAAAAAAATGTATCAAACACCTAAAGTTGGAAAATCCAATTCCAATTCTATCTTCCAATTTCATTTCCACCCTATCAAACACACCCTTAGATCAATTTCTCAAATTTGGCATGATGGGAATTGTTTTACTACTACAAATGGTGATCTACCAATTTTTTCTAAAAGCTTGTGAAACGTGGTCGCAAGGGAGTTGTAGTAGATTTAGAACAGATGAAAGCTGTCATTTTCGTCCTTAAATAAATATAAGATCCTTATCAAAGGCTTTGAATGTGAGAAATCAACCGCATATAGAAGAATCAAAAAAGGATATATATATATATATATATATATATATATATGTTGGGTTTTTGATACCCAATAATCTCGGGCGATGATATTAAACCGACATTGGATAAATTAATTATCAACACCCAATATTGAGGACATGACCCTAAAACTATTTGGACCATTGGAAGCAACCTAATTAATTTGCGTTTCTCATGGCCCGACTTTCACACTCATTGAATGACTTATTTTGTTAGCCCATTTACTGGTATTCGTATTGAACTTGGCCCACACAACTTTGACCTAACCCAAACTATATAAGCTAGCCCCTTGGTCTTCTATCTCTTACGCGTGTTTCTTGGCTTTGAAGAAAACTCTCTGCCCCTTTTTCTTTGTGCTCTCTCTCGGCTATTTTTCTTCTTACTTCTTCATAGCCTTTGTGGCCGAAAAAACACCGTCCTTATTGTGTCCTTAGTGGGTACAAGGTGAAACAATCGGAGTGTGGAAGAAGGATTGGAGGTTTGGGTTGTGATTTGCTTGGGTGTTGTAAGGTTGAGATTGGTACACTGAGCCCGGAAAATTCATTGATTGGAGGTCGATTATTCAACAATATATAATCGGATGACAACAAGAAAGCAAAGAGTTTTGCTTCTCAATGTTCACGTAAGGTACACTTACATAGAAACCTTTGTTTGTTATGCTTCTTGTTCAAATTCAAATTGATGAAAAGTGGTTTTACATGTCTAAGGTGTCACAAAATTATTATCTCCATATAGGTGAAATAGAGCCCTTTCGAAAGATTCATTGCAAAGCTTATATTTTTGATTGTTATCTTGCGTCCACAATTTGATGTCACTTCGATAAGGAATTTCAATGGAAATACTGGAATATGGCTATTCATATTTAAGTAACCAGCCAACAGGAACTTTAGAGGCAAAGTCAATTCTGTTGGTTGTTTTTCAATCATGTTTAATTCAAAAATTATTGCCTTTAATCAAAGAAAAATGGCCATGTTTTAGGACCGTCTTCTTTCAAAAAGGTGACGTAAAGTCACATTTAGATGTTAATGATGTCGAGTTTGAAGAAGTTGAGAGAAAAGATGAATTCGATATTCTTTTATATTGTCAACTTGTGAACAATCCCCTAATCTTGAATCTTGGATTCTTTAGAGTTATTGATTCACTTCAATATCAAGAGGCTCTCACCCAAGAGCGGAGCCAAGATCAAACTACAAATTGGGCTAATATATAACAAGCTGGCTACCATATAAAATATATATATATAAATTTACACATAAAAAAAAAATTTTACTTGAATTTTTTTTTTTTTTTGGCTCTGAAAAACATTAAGTGGGCTGGAGAGGGGACTAGGCTACAGCCCAGCCCAGTCCCCCTAGATCCGCCCCGGCTTTTGTCACAATTGTTGAATTTGTTTCAGCTATGAAGAAATCTTTTGACATATGAGAGAGGCTACACTAACATGGACATTTGACAGCCCCTGTGACAGAATAATTCTTGACATATTTCCAACTTAATATTTAAACAACGTGTTGTTGTCATTACAATCATACATGGTTAAGAATCTTTGATAATAATAACTATAAAATTCCTCATATGAACAAACAAAATTGATTAGGTGCAAATATTTATTGATTCTTTTCACATGTATTATCAATAATATGCAGCCCCTTTAGGTGCAATCTTTTGACATAATTGATGACGCCCTCCCTCGTTCCTCACTTATTTAGCGCACATATACTGTTGCGGTTGCACATAGAATAATCTTGGCTGCTACATTTAAATACTTGTCCGTTCACCTACTTTGTGATGAACCATTAGGCTCAAAGACTCTGTATAATCCATTCAATAAATAATTATTTGATAATTGAAGTTAAATAATTAAATTATATTAAAATTTAACCAATTTGCCGTTGTTTAAAATGTTCTCAAAATACATATTCTTATTAAATTATATCTATCTTTATATAAAAAATATCCATTTCTCTAATTTTGAAACAAAAAATAAACAAAATTCTCCTTTGGCTTTGTTAAAAAGTTTTCATTCAACCATACACTGATAATTATTATATATAGCCTGATTTATCGCATACGTGCTCTTTACGCCTCTTTTCGTTCTGCTAATATTTGATCTAAAGAATGCTGATTTTAAAAATAAGCGATTTCTTTTCTCCAAACCTTACAGTCTAATCTGAGAACAAATTACAAACACATTTTGTGAAATCCATTATTATTCATCCTAAAAAATTACAAATCATTTTACATGAAAAGACCATAGCCATTACAAAAGACTAAAGGGAAATGTCACTTTACCTGAAAATGTTTGACAGACAGGGTGATCAACCCTCACAAAGTGTGCGGGTCCCCACGTGAATTAAATAATGTCCGACTCTTAGGGTGTGTGTGTTCGATCATTTATTATGTCAACCATTATGTTTCTCTAATTCGGTCCAAGACTTAAATAAATTTGTCATAAGCTAACAACTAGGATCATCTTAAAAAACATTCCATCAGGGAGACGAATATAGATATAACTCAATCAAACAAGTTGACTTGTGAAAACTAAGCGAGATCTTAATTCTTATTTATCGCGTCCATAGAATTGATGTAATCTAGACGAGAGAGGGTATGAACATCGCGTTGAAACCGGCATCTATTCTCATTTGTCAATAATCAAGTCTGATCTGGGAAGTGTGTAGTCGTGGTGGCGGCTTCACACTCAAATTTCTTCCACGTGTATGTCTGCGATTGGTTTCCACATCCTTTTCATTTCATACCTCCCCCTCAGCTAATCAAAGTCCTCATCTTGACCTCCCTATAAAACTGGAAAAGAGCACGTAAGTTTCCAAGTTTGTAGCTGTCGAATTATATAATCAATCAATCGATTAATCACTGAATTGATTCAATGGCTGAGAAGGCATTCAAGTACGTGATCATCGGTGGTGGAGTCGCTGCCGTGAGTATTTTCTACATCGATCATTTTAAGATCTTATTTTATCATTTTTTGATTATTCTGTATATTTTACTTTAATCAATTGAGTTTTTGCTCGTTGTTCTTCGTGTTCTAACTTCTAAAGTAGCACCTTCTTCTTCTTCTTCTTCATTTTTTCTAAATCGCAATCTCACTTGTATTTTTTATCTAAAGATTGCGTAATTACTAATATATATGTTATTTTATTCCAGTCATCATACAGTCATCTCCAGATCAAACTGCCGTATTCTCCTCTAGATTTAAATGATTTTAGTCGAAGGCTTTATCCTAAAAAACTTTATATTTGTCAATTTATATTTTATATTATTGATTTTCGGTCACAATCTCATCAAAGCCTTTGATTGTAATAAAAAGTTCTACACGATCATGCAATTTCTTTTTTTAGCTTTAATTGCACGCGTCTTCACGTAAAAGTTGAAAAATGCATGATACTCTCGATGTAATGTTGCACAATCTGTTTGGTTTGATTTCAAATTTCCACAATTACTTGAAGTTGCTTAGATATGAAAATGGTTAAGCCAATTGGATAACTGCAATGTTACTGCATCGAGAATGCGGACCGTCTGATACATTTTATTGCAAGTGCTTTTCGACTATTTTTCCATACTGTTATAAATATGGTTACTGAATCAAAATTTGGTCATGCTCCCAGGGTTATGCTGCCAGAGAATTTGCCAACCAAGGAGTTAAGCCGGGTGAATTGGCTATCTTTTCCAAAGAGGCGGTATGCACTTTGAAAGTATTCTCTAAGACAGTTATTATGCAGCAAAAAGACTTTTGATTAGTTTCTTGTGTTATTCTTGGCTAAGGCAAAAAACAGAATTTGCTTCTATCTGTCAGATGTTTGGACGAAAAAGAAGTCATTGAGTGATTAGATCCTATTTGATTGTTGCACATCACAAAATCAACAGAATAAAATTATTTCAGTCTATTGAGGACCCTTTTTCTTTGTCCCGCTTTATTGATTCCACAAATTCCACATACTATTTGAACTTTGTAACTTTTCCTAGCATGTCAATAAAGTGTCAGATGTTTACACAATTAAGAGAGTCCTCAATTTCTACTTTCTATGTTATGTTGCTCAGACTTTGGGGTTATACTTTGTATTACTTGTGCAACAAAATAATAATATTCACGCATTTAAAATTGTATTTGATAGACCATACTTAATCCATTCGTAAGTTTATATTTTTAATTTATAATCGAGGCTTGTCATATGACTCAAATCCTTGTCTTGTTAGACATGTTTGGGGAGTGTTAATTTTTGTGTGCCTCGTGTGTCAAAAATTAAATTATATGTAAAAGATATAGGACACACCAAGGGATGTGTTGGACATGTTTGGGGAGTGTTAATTTCTGATATGCATCATACCGTACTTCACCTTAGGAGTGACCGTGCTCCACAGGTTGTCCTTATGTGTTCCCATTTTTACTTTTATTGTTGTTAAATTTTTAATTTATATGTTGTTAGTAAGTTGTTTTGGGAGAAGAAGCGGCTAGGCTAACATGGAATCAACTGCTTAACTACTTTATTTTCTTTCGAAGTTAATGTATCTGCCCTAACATCTATGCTGGAAATGTCTCTTTTCATGGCATTAAAAAGCATTTTTTTTTTCTATCAACTTTACTGTATAAGGTTAATTGATGGTTTCAGGTGGCTCCTTATGAACGTCCAGCACTCAGCAAAGCATATCTGTTTCCTGAGGGTAAGTTGATTTACCTTTTTTGTTTCTCAATGATCAAGCGTGGTTTGTATTGTAACACCGAATTTGCAATACATAAATAATAAATGCCATCACTGGCAAATCCATACAGGGAGAGAGGGAAATCCCTGGTCAAACCAATATTAGGAAATTTCACATCACCTATATATGTCTAACAAATTTGAATATTATTACTTGGTATGATTAGTTCTTCCATCATATCAAACTTTTTATTAGTCTATATTGTCTTTGCAAAATGTTAACCATTTTTTTCTCTTCTTCATGTCACGATAGTGGTCTTCAATCATATAGCAGCTTATTTTTCGTATAAACATTTGCATTGGATATTTCTGATGGAAATGTGATTTTATATTTTCTCCAGGAACTGCAAGACTTCCAGGTTTTCATGTGTGTGTTGGAAGTGGAGGAGAGAGGCTTCTTCCTGAGTGGTATGCAGAGAAAGGTAATACCTATTGGCTGCATTGTTAGAAATCTTTAGCCAGTCAGAAGAACAAACATTGTTTGCATGAAAAATCCCTAATGTGAACTTATCTTGATGATATACAGGGATATCTTTGATCCTCAACACAGAAGTAGTTAAAGCAAATCTTGCTTCAAAAACACTTATCAGTGCAGCTGGCGAAACATTTAAATATCAGATACTGATTATAGCGACTGGTTCTACTGTTGAGTAGCATGAAACTAGATTCTATTCATCTTTTTCAAGTGTGATTCTCATGTACTCAACTGAATTTTCTGCTTGTGTATGTTACTTTTTCCAGGTTGTCAGATTATCAGACTTTGGTGTACAAGGGGCTGATGCTAAAAATATTTTTTATTTGAGAGAAATTGATGACGCTGATAAACTTGTGGAAGTAATCAAAGCAAAGAAAAATGGAAACGCACTGGTTGTCGGTGGTGGATACATTGGTCTTGAGCTTAGTGCAGCTTTGAAAATTAACAACATTGATGTCAGCATGGTGTACCCTGAACCTTGGTGTAGTAAGTCGAAATATAAATATTATTATGGATTTTCATTTTATAAGTTGTTTTCGGTGTACTCTGACTTGACTTTTTTGGGTACCCTTCACCTTGCTTTTGCATATCTTTATGCAGTGCCTAGGCTATTCACTGCCGAGTTAGCTGGCTTCTACGAAGGTTACTATGCAAACAAGGGTATCAAAATCATCAAGGGGACGGTAGCCACTGGATTTGGTACAAACGAAAACGGAGAGGTGTGTTCTCAAGCACATATTTTTGTTCTTCATTTCTGAATTGATCTGTGTCCTGTTAGTCATATGTTGTAATTTTATATCTCCACTTTCAGGTTACAGATGTAAAACTTAAGGATGGTAGGGTTATGGAAGCCGATATAGTTGTTGTTGGTGTAGGTGGAAGGCCAGTAACAAAATTATTTAAAGGTCAGGTTGAAGAGGAAAAGGGTGGAATCAAGGTGCGTGACTTCACTTAATGTTTCCCCTAAATTGATCGCGTTTTCTTGTTAGCGCTTTCAATCAATTAGAGTGCTTATGTAATCTATTTGTCTCAACTCTCCATGCTTGGAAAGTTGATGACAAAGTAATTAACAAACAAAATTAGGAGACGACAACATGAATGACCAAAATATGAAAAGGTCAAAGAACAAGTAATTTTATGAAAACAATTGGCTGTACTATTTCATTTTTTTTTTTTGCTAATGCTTTTATCAATTATGTGCTCACTGAATTATGTTGTCTTCAATGTTGATATTTTGATAAGGTTCCACATAATATTTAGTATCAAAGAATATAAGAAAACATCCGAATTTGTCTTTTAGACGACTAGTATTATATCATCTTTTCAAATTTTGTAAAAGGACCATCTGCTTCCATACAAAACATCTAATAGCAGCGGCCAACACATGATGCATGCCATCAAGAAAATTTTAAGGAATAATGATCACAACAAATTGTATTGGGTAAATAAAATTATGCCTTCTCCACGAATATTCACAATAAATACAGGGAAGCAGAGCCTCAATTTTTAGGATATTGATGAACATAACTGTAGCAATGTTTTGAGCTCAAAGTCATACCGATCACAACTTTATGTGCTGTATTATTATATTCCGAATTTGTAGATACTTGTGTGGTCATTTTTCTGAGACTTCTTGATGGGAATCTTATATAGATATTATATTTAATTTAGTTTAAATGATGGGAATCTTATAGAGATATTATTTTTTAATTTAGTTTTCAATTTTGATGCTTATTTTAGGAGACATAATTAGATTTGATTTCATAGATTCTATAGAATTTTCCTTTAATTAAGACTATTTTAAACATTACATAATGGAGGTTTTTGTATTGTAATAGTTGCAACTTTGATAATGAAATATATTGATACTTTCTCTTGCTTAAATTTCTATTCCACCTATCTAATTCTGCCCCCNTATATCTTCCTCGTATATTTCTCTTCTCTTTTCCCGTTCCTTTTCTCTTCTCTCCCTTTTATCCTTCTATAATTGTTTGACTGCATCCTATGTTAAATTTGTAAGCAAGTTGTCTTCCTTTGATCAAACAAACTTTATGTTCAAATTCAAAATTTATACACCCACATCCATAGCCACCTTTCAACCACCAAAATAATTTTCCCAACCACAACAACTGAAAAGAAGAAATCATCCAACAAAAGAAGGATTTGACATCTTAAGTTCGTTTTCATTATTTGGTTGGAAGAAAGACTGCCCTCCTTGGCTAAGAAGTTGTAATCTATCTCGTTGGAGTCAAGTTCTCTCAGTTAAGGAGAAATGATGAAGATCCTATCATATTATTATATGATTTTTTTTTCATGTTTAGATTCTTATTTTAGAAAAAATTAATATGATTTATTTACTAAATTTCCTCGGATTTTATTATGTTTATTTACTAGATTTTTTAGGATTTTATTAGATGTTTCATACTTAGATTAAGTTAAACCCTATATAAAGGGGCCTTATGCCTAATAATAGATACAACTTTGATAATGAAATTTATAAGTCTAATTCCTCTCTCTGTCTATGTCTCTCCTATCTTCCCCCTCCTTTTTCTTCTCCTCTCCCCTTTTTCCTATAATTGTTTGATTGCTGCATCCTATGTCACTTTTTGCTTGTAGACGGATGGTTTCTTCAAAACAAGTGTTCCTGATGTATATGCTGTGGGTGATGTTGCTACTTTCCCTATGAAGTTGTACAATGAAATGAGAAGAGTTGAACATGTTGATCATGCTCGCAAATCTGCTGAACAAGCTGTAAAGGTATCTGATGTCTTCATATGAATGATTTCATTTCTCTTGACTGGTTTAATATCAACGTGCTGGGCATTTTGCCAACAAATACTCAAAATTAAATGGTCTTCAATCCTATATACTACAATAATATTGCCATTCAGATGCATCTACGAGTGTAAACTCTGAACCATCACTAAACATATGATGGAAAATTTTGACTCACTATGCATATTTATCACCCAAATGTTAAATTGCTGTCTTTCACTCTTGTATTGACTCCTGAACACGTTCTGTTGTTTTTTTGTTTTTGGCACATCCTTTTTTTCATATTTTGCTCAATTTTCATTCTTTTGACAATAAACACTGGAGTGGTACTTGAAATGGCTTTGTCCAGAACATTCAGATTCTGATTCTATATATTCTCATTGTCGCCATCTTTCTATTGTTTTTATGAGGTTTCGATTGTGAAACTTTTGTAGCTAAACTGTAAATTTCACCTTCCGTACAACCGAGTTAGGACTGAGTTACTTGTTACGCTGCAGGCAATTTTCTCATGTGAACAAGGAAACTCTATTGATGAATACGACTACCTTCCATTCTTCTATTCCCGTGCATTTGATCTGTCTTGGCAGTTTTACGGTGACAATGTAGGTGAAACCGTGTTCTATGGAGATGGCAGCCTTACATCTCCAACTCACAAGTTCGGATCATACTGGATCAAAGATGGGAAAGTTGTTGGTGCATTTTTGGAAGGTGGTACTCCCGAAGAAAACAAGGCAATTGCTAAAGTCGCAAGGGTTCAGCCTCCAGCACACAGTTTGGATCAGCTAGCCACAGAGGGTCTCACCTTTGCCTGTAAAGTTTGAAGGTGTTTATTTTTATTTTTCTGTTGATACAGTAGAACTAGCTGTTTATTCAATGGATCGCAGGCTTTGTTTAGATTCATCATTGTCTTATTTTCCTTGGTGTGACATGATTTCTATTAATTATTCGACACTGAGACATAGAGTTACTATGCTCTTAATCTCGAAATAGTTTGTCTTCTTTATTTAGAAATTAACGATTTCTTCTGACTTCACAAAATGCAGTCATTTTTCTGTTGCTACACTAGGTTGTATCCATCTAGGAGCGACAATGACTTTCTCGATTCTGATAGCTTTTTTTCTGCAGGAAACACGTCGCAAACCATGTTGCTTAATCCCTGAGCTAGTACAAAAATTCATGCATTACATTATTTGAGACTGTGTTACCAGAGTTTGGGCCTGTTAATTATGGCCTAGGCCAGATTTAGGAGACCCACAGTAATTCAATCCTCTCTGCTACTTATGGAATGTAAATCTGTGTCTTCAGATTCTTGACATTGTTAACCATTTCTGTTGAAAGGAATAAATCGGATCAAACGAAGTTTCTCTTAGTTTTATTTTGAACAATAATTCTTTCACAATACTATTTTAACGGTGGTAATTTTGAAAATGGACGTTCATATAAATTCAAGTACATGATGGTCCAAGAAAATGTCGAATTTTCTTAATTGGTCAGAGGGACAAAATTTTCTTAAGTTGTGATAAAAATTTATTCTAGAAGAGGGATAAAATAAGGATTAAACTTAGACCATTTTTGAGCACTTCATAATATTTTTGGGGCATTCGAAGATTAGATTATTTCTCTTGCAATGCCCCTTTTAATGGGTTTCAAAGATAAAAATCCTTTATTGGATTATCCTGTAAATTGACCTATGGAAACCCATAAATTCAATTTTATTATTCTTTCTTAATAAGAATATAAGCCATGAATTGTCTTCTTATGATTCATCAATCAAGGAACAAGCGATCCCCTCTCATTACTAACTAATCCTCCGATCTATCCATTTCTTGTTCGATTAACTAATGTTATTATGAGATCTTGTTAGTGAGATTGAGAAAAATAAAGATATTTATAGATAATTCTAATTTGTTTATTCAGCTAAGGAATGAGAAATCTCACTCCTATGCCTACCGGAATTTTATTGATTGATTTATTCCCCTGTTACATAAGGAAGAAGAAAATTTATCTTTAGAGAACAATCAACACATGGATCCTTTATTAAAAGAAAGCCCCTTGTATGTCTTTTAAATGAATCTATAGATGAGACAACTAGATGGTTTGGTCAAAATGAATTCTTGTTTTGTTGTCCATACTCCCTTTCGTGAACCAATCTAAATTGGATCAATAGAACATTACACATGCACCATTACTAATTTATTGTGCCTCATGTTTTAGTTTGAGTTCCAAGTGCAAGGAATTTACAACTATTAGTATAAAAATAGGAAATGACTTAGCATGGTATATTCGTTCATCCTGACTTCGATTCCAAGTGATCTTTTCGTATGTGTTTGCCCCGATTCAATTGGGGGGATCGAATAATGAGTGGAGATCTTCCTTCCGCCAACTCATTTTTTATTCAAAAGATAGGACTTTTCTATTTTTACAAGGCTGTTAGGCTTATATCTGACTAATAGAACATGCAATCTTTCCTACCACCCTCCAAAAGGGGGTATTCATTTATGAAGGCAATTCGAGAACTCAAGCAGGAAATAAAATAATTAGTCTTAGGCTTTCCTTAAGAGGAAAACCCGAAAAAGGGACTTTTAAGTGCAGAAGCCAAAGAAGGCCTTTTTACCTCACTTTGGTTAGTATACGAGTGAGAACAGGTTTAGTTCAAAAACTATATTGGTCTTTCCCGACTTTCTCCATTTTCTGTAAACGTAATCCCATGGTTATTAAAATTGAATTGGTCTCGACAATCGTTCGAAAATTGACAAAGAAATTTATGAGTATGTGCGGTAGGAACGGTTGAATCAGTGTTCAATCAACTTAGTTAAAGTACATCGACAACAATTCAATGACATCTTATGCCATCCAGTGGATGATTGGAAAATAGCCTCTTCAGGAATACATAGAAAGCAAACTCCCGCCAGGCCAATGCCGGACCTTCTATGACCCACGGGTAATACCCGGTTGGCCGGTTCGGATCTACTATGCAACCGAGAAAATAAAACCAGATACAAAACCCAATAAAAACCCTAGCTATATATCCACGTCCCCCTAGCCGGTTTCTCCCTCTCGCTTTTCTTATTCCAGTTCCAAGATCAACTGAGCAATCTCTCTCAACCGTGCCGTAAGGACATTTGAATATATGCAAATGTTAACTGAATTTTTCCGGTTTGTATTATTATATTTATATATATACTGATTTTATTTTATTTATTTATTTATTTTTTAATAAATGTTTGATTTGTGATCAGAAATGAAGGTTGTGGCTGCCTACTTGCTTGCCGTTCTGGGAGGCAATGCCGCCCCTTCGGCCGATGATTTGAAGGGCATTCTTGGCTGTGGTAATTTATTATCTCACTCCTCGATTTTCTAATATGAATAGTTAAGACTGTGTTAATGTATCATATATGTTTATGTTGTATTGAGTATATAAATTTCATGTTTAAGTATTTTAGTATTTGTAAAGAGATTCTGTTTCTCCAGTGAAAATATTAACATCGCAGAAGTCTTATGCCATAGTTAGGGTAGTTAAATCAACTCATATTCGAGCTCGAGTCAGTTCATTAATCTGGCCCTAACCTAGAGCCCAGCACTTATGATTATGCAATATTCTCTTTCATTTGGATGTGGCCAAATGGAAATGTAGGTGAAAATATGTGCATACACTTCATACTGTTTTGGTATTTGAGGTCTGATTATTTGTTTATTTCAAAGGTATAGAAAATTAAAGGATAATATATTATCACAAAACTGTGTTGGCTTTTGTAGTTTATGATCTTTGAACTACGAAGTGAGCCTCATTAGACATTATGTAGCTCTGTGGTTATCAGCTAGATTTAACTTTTTCACTTTTAAATATGAGAAAAATTTTGTATGAAAGATCCAGGGTTTCTTATACTTGTTTTTAGCTTTTCAATACATTTCCTTCGCTTGATTTAGTTGGTGCATTAGCATTATGTCCTGTGGAGAACATGTTAGCCCGGCATCCGAATCCGATAACGGAAATCCTAGGAAGACTGAATAAGATTTTTAAACTGATTCTCTGACCTGTAGGGCTTCTGTCTCATCATTTTGGATATGGATGCCTATTTAAGTTTGAATGTCTGGAGGTTTGTTTTATGTTGTTACCAATTACCAAGATTGTTATGGGTTTTGTTCCCTATTTATATGATATTCTGAGTGAAATATAATTTATAAGGAATCTGGGAAGGTAATCGGTGATCTTCTCTGTTCTACTAATCCTTAAAGATAAGATATTTTTCTGCTTGCTTCATGTTACTCTGCTTTGCAAGTTTTCCTGCTAGGGCCCTCGTCTATTTGGTAAGCATAAATTCTTACTTGCCCACAAGCCTTCCTTTTCGATTTTTTCCGTGGTACTTTCTTTTTGTGGATTTATTTTACTGGTTCAGTTGGGTGGCACATTTATTTCTCTTGTTCTCCCTCGTACTACTTTGAAACAATTTTCAGCTGAAAACTGATTGAGCGTTTGAATAAGGGAGAAGGCTTGTCAAATGATAACTTTTATGCATGATTGTTGCTTGATAGTAGCAGCATACTTTTTTCGTACCCACACTTATGTCTTCTTTTCATTTGGAATATAGTTGAAGCTGAAGCTGATGAAGATATGATTGAGCTTCTTCTGATGTAAATTAAGGGAAAAGATATCACAGAGGTCATTGCCGCTGGAAGAGAGAAGTTGGCATCTGTACTTGCTGGTGGTGGTGCTGTTGCTGTGGCTGCATCTGCAGCTGGTGGTAGTGGTGGTGCTGCTGCTCCAGCTGCAGCTGAGTCTAAGAAAGAAGATAAGGTGGAGGAGAAAGAGGAATCAGATGATGTAAGCTTTTCTGTGAATGTTTATTGTACACCAGTTATTAGAACTTGTAGTTCATTGTGCCTTGTCATTAAAATAGTTTGTTATACATTCCCTAACTTCTCTTTTTTAAGAACTTCATAAATTTGGTTTTAATGGTTTATGATTGTGGTTGGTGTATTTATAACATACTGATATTAGGGAGTTTGAAAAAGGGTCAGTTTTTTTATATTTTGTTTTTAATATGTCGGCTGAGCTGAAATTGTCACTTGATGCACATAATGAGAACTTATCCATGATACAACCTCCTCCCTGACTGCTAAATTTCCTTCTAAATGTAATCTTAAAGGATATTTTCCCTCATATATGCATTTATTTGCAGTGTTTACATCTTATTTCTGTATATTTTGATACTAATTGAAACTTCTGTTTCTGAACTTGCTGCAGGACATGGGCTTCAGTCTTTTTGATTAGAGGTTTTTTTACTGCTCTATAAAGGTGCTCTAGTTTTCATACAGTTAAGACCGGCTGTTAGTATTTTTTTTCTCCTTTATTTTGGTGCTTATTTGATAGATGCTGTCATGACAAGCCAAAAGCGTTTCAGTTAGCGACATGGTGCTTGGATTGATTTTTATCTATACATATGGATTTTGTCGTTATGAATCTTTTCACTTGTGTTATTTTCTAATTGTTCCAAAGTCTTAAAATTTACTTGACGGTGTCATTTTGACAAGGTTTTCAAATTTTGCAAGACGCCATGAGCACATCACATCAATTTAGGGCCTGTTCGGTATTGATTTTTTGATCGTTGGGAAAATAGTAGGGACCGCTTGTAAGTGAAGAAGTCAAAAAGTACGGCTGGAATAGTGAAGTAACGGTCAAAAAATCAAATTTATTGGATGAAAAATCGCTCCCAAACAGACTCTTATTTTTCAGCCATTTTATTAATCTTTAGTCTTAACTTATAGCCTGAGTATAAGACATTGAGGCAGTTGGTGATTGGTTCCTTGTTGCATGCATCTTGGTGAAATCTTTAAAATACAGTGAAAAGGATTATTATTACTTGTGGAAACTATTGTTATTTCTGTTGGCACCTTTTGTCATTTGAAAAA